CTGCCAGACACATCCTCTACCCACCCATGCGTTCTTCCGTCACCCGTTGATCCCATCCTCATGGCCTTCTCTGCCATCCTTCTGTCTGTCCATCCATCCAGCTTGATCTCAAACCCACACACTTTTCTGGCTGCTACCGGATCAGGAGGTTGGGGAGAAGCACAAGATCTGATCACCTCCCTTGCATTCCAGGAAAGCTGCTTTGCAACAGAGGGATCTGGGCTGTACATTCTGAGCTGTATGGGGGTTCAGGGGGCCTGATCTGAAAAGCTGAGTTGGAGCTCACTGCTGACTTTCGGAGGGCCAGGGGCTATGGGAAAGAGTAAGGGAAGCCTGGCACGGGGCCAGGGGCCGAGCCACCAAGCACAGCCTCTACGCTCTCAAACTTCCCTGGCAGATCTCATTTCCCAGAGCCTGGGCTCTCTGGGCCCCCGAGCACCCACCCTGGCCTCCCATTCTCCCCTCCTGTTCCCCATGGACTGCTCCTATCCTCTGCCTTCCTTCTTCCCACCCCAGGAGCCTGCTGCAGGCCTGGGAGCGAAAGCAGCAGGAAGAGCGGCACCAGGCTGAGCTACGTCGGGCTCGCGAGCAACGGGTCCAGCAGCAGGTGGCCCGCTGCCTGGCAGCTTACGGCTCCCGAGCTAACCGGAGGCCCTGGGTCAACCAGCGCAAACTGGAGGAGCTGAGGTAGGGTGCTTGGGCCCAGGAGGCCTGGCTGTGAGAGAGGCCTGCCCTGGGGCTGGCAGAGTGTCGGGCCCCAGAACCAAGCAGCAGACCCAGCCCTGATTATCATCCCACAGGGAGAAGCCAGCTTCTAGTTCAGAGTAAACCTTGAAAACTCAAGGTTAGAATGTTCTGTGCGTGTTAATCCCACTGCCCAACCCTGCTTTTCTATTTGCAACGCCAGCCCTACTTATTCCAAACAAGTAACACACTTTGTTAATGTAGGACACGGCCCTAACGGCTCCGCCCCTGTGGGCAGCCATGATTCATGCTCAGTTGTAAACTGTCCATTTTATTCCCTTCCTACTGTTCTCTAAAAAGTGAATTTAGAAATCAGGCCGATCTTTCATGTCCTTGTTAATCTGAGAGAAAGAAAAAGACAGCGAGAGAGGGAGAGATCTTTCGCCTACTTGTTTACTCCTCAAATTACTTCCAATGGCTGGAGGGCTGAAGCCAAGACCTGGGGGCTCCATCCAGGTGTCCTCATGGGGGGCAGACACTAAACACGAGGCCCATCCCCTGGCGCTGCTCAGAGTTCACCTTAGCAGGAAGCTGGAATTGGAAGTGGAGCCAGGGGAGCTGCTGCAGTGGCATAACAGGCTAACTGTCTACCGTGTAATGCCAGCATTCCATGGGCGCCGGTTCATGTCCCCACTGTTCCACTTCTCAGCAAGCTCATGCTTGTGGCCTGGGAAAGTAGTGAGGAAAAAAAAAGCCTTGGAACTCTGTATGTACATGGGAGATGCAGAACAAGCACCTGGCTCCTGGCTTCAGATCGGCTCAGCTCTGGCCATTGCAGCCACTTGGAGAGTGAACCAGCAGGTGGAAGATCCTTCCGCTTCTCTTTCTGCAACTCTGCCTTCATGCAAAGATAAATACATTGGGGGAAAAAAAAAAGAGATGGGGAGGGAGGGAGAGAGGAAGAAAGGAAAAGAAAGAGGCAGGGATGCTTTTTGGTTTTTTTTTACCCAAGTGCTGTCTCAACCACTAAGCTAAATGCTCAACCCTGACTTTATCACTTTTTTTTTCAAGTTGCTTAGCAATTAGTTCTTATTTTATTTGAGAAGCAGAAAGTAAAAGAAAGAGGGAGATATTGTTCATCTACTGGTTCATTCAAGTGCATGTGGGGGCTGGGAGCCAGGCTCTCCATCCGGGCTTCTCATGTGGGTGGCAGGGGCCCAAGCGTCAACTGCTGTCCCCCAGGGGGTGTATTAACAAGAAGCTGGAGTTGGAGCAGAGCTGTCACTCAAACCAGGCACCCCAAGAAATATCCTAACCACTGAGCTAAATACTCATTCCTAATTTTTTTTTTTAAGATTTTATTTATTTGGGGCCGGTGCGATGGCTCAATGGCTAAATCCTTACCTTGCAAGCACCAAGATCTTATATGGGCCCTAGTTCATCTCCCAACTGTTCCACTTCTTATCCAGTTCCCTGCTTGTGACCCAGGAAAGCAACAGAGGACAGCCCAAAGCGTGGGAGACCCAGAAGCTCCTGGCTCCTGATTGGCTCAGCTCTGGCCGTAGTGGCTGTCTGGGGAGTGAACTAGTGGGTGGAAGATCTTTCATTCTCTCTTCTCTCTGTAAATCTGCCTACCCAATAAAAATATTAAGGGGCCCGGCGGTGTGGCCTGGCGGCTAAAGTCCTTGCCCTGAACATGCCGGGATCCCATATGGGCGCCGGTTCTAATCCCAGCAGCTCGACTTCCCATTCAGCTCCCTGCTTGTGGCCTGGGAAAGCAGTCGAGGACGGCCCAAAGCCTTGGGACCCTGCACCCGTGTGGGAGACCTAGAGGAGGTTCCTGGTTCCTGACTTGGGATCCGCGCTGCACCGGTTGTTGCGCTCACTTGGGGAGCGAATCATCAGATGGAGGATCTTCCTCTCTGTCTCTCCTCCTCTATGTATGTCTGACTTTGCAATAAAAATAAATAAATATTTTTTTAAAAAAATAAATTATTAATTTTTTTTAAAAAGATTCTATTTATTTGAAAGGCAGAGTCAAAGAGAGTGAGAGACAGAGAATCTTCCAACTATTGGTTGACTCCCTAAATAGCTGCAGCGGCTACTAGGGCTGGGCTGGACCAAGGCCTGAAAGTAGGAGCTTCCTTAGCCGCAGGAGCCCGAGTACTTGGGTCATCTTCCACCGCTTTCCCAGGAGCATCAGCCGGGAGCTAGATAGGAAGTGCAGCAACTGGGACTCGAACCGGTGCCCATGTAGAATGCTGGCATTGCAAGTGGCAGATTAATGTGATGCCCCACAACACTGACCCCTGCATTGATCCATTAATCGAACTTCTGAAGTCTTTCATAAATAACATGGAGAACATATGCAAGCGTCCTGACTCTTGCACAGCATAGGAAAAACCGAGCCCCGAGCGGGGTCCTGTTCTAGGTAGCAACCATGGCTTCCTTCCCAAAGCTGTGGCAAGGTACACAGGTGTGTGCCTTGGGCACCAGGGAAGCTGTGCACACCCTTGGATGTGAATGCTGCCCCCTTTCCTGGGGAGCAGCCCGGCAGCCACCCAGCTCTGGCTGTACAAGTGACAGCTTAGGATCTGGGTTCAGGCTCCCCACCCTCCCGACATCCAGCTGCTTGACCAGGGTACGACTCCTGCCCTGGTTGACCTGCCAACGCAGCTCAGGGCCAGGAGGCGGGGCTCCAGGGGAAGGGAGGGGGCTGTGTCCTGGGACAGCCGCGTGTCTGCCCTGCAGGCGTCAGGAGCGGCAGCGCTTTGCTGAGTACCAGGCCGAGCTGCAAGGCATCCAGCACCGTGTGCAGTCCCGGCCCTACCTGTTCCAGCAAGCTATGCAGGTGAAGGCTGCCCCTGGGGCTCAGCGGGAAGCCGGCCAGAGGGCAGGGGAGCCAGGCGGGAGTGAGGCAACCCTTTAGAATCGCTGTTCCCCCTCCCCAGAGTAATCAGAGCCCCCACTCGGCCCTGAGCCAGAATTCCTCTCCTCTGCCTGCAGGCCAACGCCCGGCTCTCTGTGACCCGTCGCTTCTCCCAGGTGCTGTCTGCCCTGGGACTGGATGAAGAGCAGGTGTTGGCTGAGGCAGGGAAGGGCGAGCCGGAGGGCAGCTCCCGGAAACCCAGGTGAGGCCACAAGGCCAGGGACACCCACACCAGCATCGAGGGAAGGGGTTTCTGTGCTTGCTTCCCAGGACAACTGCGGAGCCAAGGAGCAGGGCCCCGCTTAGGGACACAGAGCCAACAGGTGCTGGGTCTGGAAGTCTGCAGCTATCTGCCACGTGCACACACTCCACACCCCTTCACAGACCATCCCTGACACGTTATAATCCCCGAGTGCTGAGCAGAGACAGTGGCCGGCTTCCTAGGAGAAATGGAGACTGGAGGAGGGGTTTGGGGAGGCTTTTGGCCAGGGCCACCCAGCAAGCCAGTGTGGGGCCCATACAGACCCAGTGGCCTCCATCTATGTCTTTAAGGTGCCACAGGACCCCAGGGGTGAGTACGCAGCACCTTCCCTCTCAGGGTCCCCAAAGACAGACTGCAGCAGCAGCCAAGGCGACAGACTTCCAAACTCCTGCGTAAACATGGCCAGCAGCCCTCTAAGACAAAAATTAAAAGTTTTTTTATGGCAAGCTTTTATGGCTTCTGGTGGTGGCAGGAAGCATGAGGGGGTGGGCAGGTGGTGGGGAGGTGTCCCACATGCCTCCGGGGGGCTCTGCGTGGGGCATCGCCAACGGATGCCGGGATCCACCACGCAATAGGATACCCTGGAGGCTGACCATCCTCTGTGGGCAAGCCGGGCTTCTAAAAGGGGGTGCTCCGTACAACACGACACAGGCTGCAGAGGTGTGGGGTGTCGGGAGCGGCGTTTCAGAGCCCCGGTGACTTGAAGTTACGGACCCTCTCAAGAAAAAAAAACCTCACACATGCAGAAGGGTCAAATTTTCACTGTTTCCCACGGCTCATAGCGACCCAGGATTAACAACCAAAGGCAACTCAGGGAGGATGGGGTCGGCACAGCCCAGCACCCGGCCACGAGGTGGCGCCGCCCCCAGACAGGGAGGCCGGTGACGGGAACTGCTGACTCGGAAAAAGGCCACGAAGTCCCTCACACTGTGGGATTCCGTCGCCTCGAAGCAAAGTCGGCGCCCGAACCGGACGGGGAGCAGTCGGGCAGCCCGCAGCCCACCCGCCCTCGGCCGCGCCGGGCAGCACTGCGCATTCGCGAACCCGAGACTTCCCGTGAGCCTTCGGGGCACGCGCCGCCGTGCGCGCCCGACGCCGCCTCCCTCAGCGGCTGGCCGGGCGACCCGGAAGCGCTCCCATTTTGCGTCGTCGGGGCTCGGCGGCTGCCGGCCGGCTCCCGGCAGACGCGTCGCCAGCACGATGGGCTCGTCCAAGAAGCACCGCGGAGAGAAGGAGGCCGCGGGGACGGCGGCGGCGGCCGGCGCTGGGGGCGCCCCCGAGCAGCCTCCGCGGCACCGCGAGCACAAGAAGCACAAGCACCGGAGTGCGGGCGGCAACAGCGGCGGCGGCAGCGGCGAACGGCGGAAGCGGAGCCGGGAGCGCGGGGCCGAGCGCGGCAGCGGGCGGCGCGGGGCCGACTCCGAGGCCCGGGGCGGCACGCACGGGCGGGATCGCAGCCAGGCGGAGCCGGCCGAGCGGCGCGTGAAGCGGGAGAAGCGCGATGATGGCTACGAGGCCGGTGAGGGCGGGGCCGGGATCCCGGGAAGAGGTGCTGGGTGCTGAGTCCTGCGTCAGGCTCCCATGGTGGGGTGCTGAGTCCTGCGTCAGGCTCCCGTGGTCGGGTGCTGGGTGCTAGGTCCCGGGGCAGATGCCCGTGGTGGAGTGCTGTGTGCTGAATCCTGGGGTAGGCTCCCACGCTGGGGTGCTGGGTGCCTGTTCCCAGGGCAGGCTCCGATGGTGGGGTGCTGGGTGCGTGGTTCTGGGGCAGGCTCCTGTGGGGGGCATACTGAATGCCTGGTCCTGGGATGGGGGTGGGATCCTGTGGGGGGGGTACTGGGTGCTGGGTCTTGTGAATGGGGGAGGGACAGGATCCTGTACTGGGGTGCTGGGTGCTGAGTCCAGGGGCAGGATACCATGGTGGTGGGGATACCATGGGAGTGGGATTCCATGGTGGGGGACAGGGCATGAGGTCCTGGGGCGAGGTGGCCGGGGACTCTGATTAGATATCCTGGAGCCTCTGTCCCGGGGACTCTGATTGGATGACATGGGGTCCCAGCGTGGAGAGGGTGTGGTGCTGGCCAGGGTCCCAGGGCGTGCGTGCCCAGTGAGCCCAGGCTGTGTGTCTTTGGTACTGTCTAGGCCCACATACCCCCAGGCTCTCTTCAAAGCTCTTAAGAAAGGCACCCCCTATTCCAGTTATTTGAGTGTTTTGGTGGCCCCACCAGGGACACACGGGGCTCTTTCTGCCATGTGTAGCACTTCCCAGGCCAAAGTACTGAGCTGAGTGCGGGTACTGGGTAGTGTGTGGGGTGCCTGAGGTGAGGAGGTGGGCAGAGGTCTGAACCCAGACCTCTGCGTTCGGACTTGAATGGGTAGGTAGATGGGGAGCCAGATCACTGCATCGATTCCGGGCCCAAGGTAGGGCAGCAGGCCAGGAAATCTGGAGGGCTGTATGGTGGCTGTGGCAGCAGGAGGGAGAGAAGCCACGTTGGGGAGGAGGGCAATAAGGATTAGGAATAGGGAACAGCTCTCTGGGTTTTCACTTGGTGGAGGGTGGGTCGTGGTGACCTCGCTAGGATGGAGAAAAGCAGGCTTCATTTGGTTTGGGGGGCAGTGGGCCACGGTTCATCAGCACAGCTTTGGACAGTGTTGGGGTTGATGAGCTCGGAGGGACCAGGGCTGAGTTTAGGTGGAACTGGGTAGCTGGGGACGCCCCCCTGAGAAAAGTGAGCCGGTGGGGAACAGAACTGGAGACGTGCCCGATCTCGTCTGATCTCAGAAGCTAAGCAGGATCGGGCCTGGTTAGTACTTGGATGGGAGAACTGGAGAGGTGGAGGTAGTGGGCCTAGCAAGACTCTCCACCAATGGAGCTGGAATCGCCCAAAGGCCAGGAAAGCCCGGGACTCCTGGGTGTGAGACGAGTGAGTTCTAGAAGGAGGGAGAATAGTCAGCAGAGTCGCCCATTGCACTCATGGGTGTTTGAGCTTCGTTGTGCCCACCTGTGTCCGGCACAGCACAGGCGTTTGCCGGTGTTTGAGTTGACTTTGTGAATCCCACAAGGGGCATGGTCATGTTGCTGAGAAATCCCCGTGCTTGTGGGGCGTCTGGGGCAGGGCAGTTGGCTCTGATCAGTGCTTGCTCAGGGCTTCTAGAAGGAGGTGGTGGTTGGTCTGTGCCCTGGGGTAACATTTCGTCCATCAGAGCCAAGAGCAGAGGGGACCCTTATGGTTGGGGGCACAGGCTGCACAGAAACAGAGGGTGCGTGAGGGGTGTGGGTAGTTAGACCTCGGAGGGAAGGGAAGGACACAGGAAGAGCAGGTCCCCAAGAGGCCACTGCCTGTGGACCCTGGGGCCGCCTGGCACCTGCCCAGGAGGCCGTGACGCTTGCGTCTCGGCCCTGGGCAGCCCCTGAGCGTGACCTCTTGCCATTGCAGCTGCCAGCTCCAAAGCCAGCTCTGGCGATGCCTCATCCCTCAGCATCGAGGAGACCAAGTAAGGGCCACTCCTCCCTCCCCCCCCCCCCCCCCCCCCCGTGGCCAAAGGGAGGCCTTACTCGGGGCGCTGAGAATCAGGGTTGGCTCGGAAGGGTGGGAGTGCCCACTGGCTGAGGGCAGCTGGGCCAGTCCCTGTGTTCCTGGTGTGGAGGCCAGGCCCCAGCTGTGGGATGCAGGGAATCACCAGTCACACCCTGACTTCGTCCCGGATCACGCAGGAGTGTGCTTGCGGCCCCTTCCTCATGCCACCTCTGACACGCGTGTCTCTTGTCCCCAGTAAGCTACGGGCCAAGTTGGGGCTGAAACCCTTGGAAGTCAGTGCCGTCAAGAAGGGTGAGTGTCAGGGCGGGCCGTGGGGTGCAGTGGGCTGAGCTGCTGCTTGGGCTGCTGTGCCACATCCTGGTCACAGGCCCAGGCAGGAGCAGGTGATGCCCATGGGACTGGCTTTCTGCGCCCCATGTGGGTGACTAGGATACAGTTCCAGGCTTTGGCCTGCCCCAGGTCTGGCTATCGCAGGCATCTGGGGAGTGAACCAACAGATGGAAGAGCTAAGTCTCTCAGTGTCACTTACAGTCTTTCAAATAAATAAATCGTAAGAAGCAGAGTGAGTGTGGGTAAGGGCAGGTTGGCAGTCATGTGGCAGGGAGAGAGGCCGTCGGGAAGGGTGCGGGAGTCAGGACAGAGCCGGCCCTGCCTAGCATCCTGGTGTGCTGCACCTGGCACCGTGGCAGGGAGTGCGAGCTGGGCTTGCTGTTGGCATCATTGCCCTGGCACTGCCAGCTATCTGGGCTGGGCGTGCGTGTGTTGGAAGCCTCAGGGGTTCCAGCATGTAGTACAGGTGATGGGGGTGGGGAGAAAGGGGAATTGAAGGACTCTTCCCCGTCCCTCGTCCCCTCCTGGCCCGTGTGCTGGAAGGGGGCAGCGTGAGTGGCTCCTTCCTCTCCCCACCAGCCCTGGGCGAACCTAGCCTCACGTCTGGACCCCCCTTCCAGAGGCGGGCACCAAGGAGGAGCCCGTGACGGCCGATGTCATCAACCCCATGGCCCTGCGCCAGCGCGAGGAGCTGCGGGAGAAGCTGGCAGCTGCCAAGGAGAAGCGCCTGCTCAACCAGAAGCTGGGGTGAGGGGTCCCAGCCAGGGCGGGTCCAGAAGGGTGGAGAAGGCCGTCCTGCCACCTTGCCTCTCCTCACCACACCCTGCGGGTCGGTGAGGGGGAGCAGGAGCTGGGCTCTCCCCTAGTGTCACTTCCTTTCCTGGTCAGGAAGATCAAGACACTGGGGGAGGATGACCCCTGGCTGGACGACACTGCCGCCTGGATCGAGCGGAGCCGGCAGCTGCAGAAGGAGAAGGATTTGGCAGAGAAGAGGGTGAGCGCCCAGGCAGTGATGGGCTGAGGGTCGGGGGGTCAGCCTAGTGCCTCCATGGCCCCACCTTTGGAGAAGGGACAGTGGCCAGGGCCGGTGGTGTCCACCTTGGATTCTGTCCCAGTGGCTTCTCTGCAAGGCTCTCCCTTTTGGCCTTCCCAACTTGGAGAGCCTGGCTGTCTTCTGGTGCCCCCAGGTGGCCTGAGGTCAGTCCCTGCTCCCTGTCCTACAGGCCAAGCTGCTGGAGGAGATGGACCAGGAGTTTGGTGTCAGCACCCTGGTGGAGGAGGAGTTTGGGCAGAGGCGGCAGGTGAGGCTGCGGCCTGGTGGGGGTGGGGTGCAGTGGCTCTGGTGGGGTGCAGCTCCTGATGTGGCCAGCCTCCCCTCTGCACCCCCATCAGGAGCTGTACAGTGCCCGGGACCTGCAGGGCCTCACAGTGGAGCATGCCATTGACTCCTTCCGCGAGGGCGAGACTGTGGTCCTCACCCTCAAGGACAAAGGTGAGTCATGTGGGCACTGGGTTGGCGGCACAGGCTGTGCCTTGGCAGGGCAGGTGTGACTGGCACCTCTGTGCCCCATCTCCAGGTGTGCTGCAGGAGGAGGAGGACGTGCTGGTGAACGTGAACCTGGTAGACAAGGAGCGGGCAGAGAAGAACGTGGAGCTACGCAAGAAGAAGCCAGGCTACCTGCCATACACAGACGAGAGCGTGGACGACCTGGCCCAGGCACGGCTCTGCTGACTGGCGAGTATCCCGGGGCGTGAGGGCCTTGTAGGGGGCTCCCAGGTCCCAACCTGAGCACTTCTTGCCTCGTAGCAAAAGCCTCGCTCCATCCTGTCCAAGTATGACGAGGAGCTCGAGGGCGAGCGGCCACAGTCCTTCCGCCTGGAGCAGGGCGGCACGGCTGATGGGCTGCGGGAGCGGGAGCTGGAGGAGGTCCGGGCCCGGCTGCGGCTGCAGGCCCAGTCCCTGAGCACCGTGGGGCCCCGCGTGGCCTCAGAGTACCTCACGCCCGAGGAGATGGTGAGTGCTGCCGGCAGCCGCCGTGGGGGTGGGGAGCTTCTGCGGCACACATGAGCGTGGGTGAGCTGGAAATGGCAGGCTGGGGGAGGCGTGGGGCGTCGGTGGAACAGGGACTGTAGAGCCAGATGGCGCTGCGTTTGTGTTCAGCTTCCACCGTGAGCTGGCTCCTGCCCTTGCTGAGTCACTTGCTGAGAGTGGGTGCCCGTCTGGACCAGGCTGCCTCCTGGGGTGGGGGGCAGCAGGGGCTGGGGCTTTGGGACCCTGGCACGAGTCCCATGCTCCAGCAGCCCACCTGCCATGCCACTCCTGCCTGCAGGTGACCTTTAAAAAGACCAAGCGGAGAGTGAAGAAGATCCGTAAGAAGGAGAAGGAGGTGGTGATGCGGGCCGATGACCTGCTGCCCCTCGGGGACCAGAGTCAAGATGGAGACTTCGGGTCCAGGTGGGCTCACATTCCACAGCTGTGCGTGATGGCTGGGCAGACTCCGGGGCTCGCGCTCACTGCAGGGTGCTTCTCCTTCCCCCAGATTGCGGGGCCGGGGCCGGCGCCGTGTGCCCGAGACGGAGGAAGAGGCCCCCGAGGAGGAGGAGGCCAAGGAGCCCGTGCCTCAGCTGCCGCCATCAGACGACACCCGTGTGGAGAACATGGACATCAGCGACGAGGGTGAGGGGCCAGCTGCCAGGGGAGGTGATGGGAGGCGACAGGAGACCAAAGAGGTGGTCTGAACAGGCTCCCCTCGTGTTCCGCCAGAGGAGGGGGACACCCTGCCCCCAGGGTCCCCCGAGGTGCTGGAGGAGGATGAGGCTGAGCTGGAGCTGCAGAAGCAGCTGGAGAAGGGGCGGCGGCTGCGGCAGCTACAGCAGCTACAGCAGTTGCGAGACAGTGGCGAGAAGGTGAGGCTGGGCGACGTGGTACTGCGTGGTGGGGATGGTGTGACCGGTGAAGGGAGGGACGGCCAAGGATTGTGGTCTTGTTGTGGGGATGGCCTCTCAAAGTGACATTGAGCTGGGTCATGAGTGGAATGAGCAACCAGCCTGGCAGACATGGGGCGGAGGCAATGGGGACATACTGGGCATTCTAGCTGGGGGGACAGCGGGCATCTCTGGAAGAAACAAACTTGGTATGCCTAATGATCAGGTGGTTTGGCATGGGGGGAAAGGCAGGTGGTGCTGAGCCAAGTGGTGGCTGTATGGGCCTTAGTAGGCTCAACTGTGCCAGGGACTGCCCAGCTGCATTCTGGGTGTTGATTGGTTAATTTGCCCCAGGAGGACCCATTGCCTTTGGGTTGAAGAAAAGGAAGCAGGCACAGGCAGCAGGTGGGTTTCCCGGGCTACAGGACCACTGAGCTGCAGAGCTGGGTCACCTGAGGCCACATTTGTCTCAGCTCCTCTCCTGAGACAAGGCTGGAGGAAGCCCTTGGGCACCTTCCATGTGTGTCCGGGTGCCCCTGCCTGGGGCTTCCAAGGCAGGACCGAGGTGTCTTCTGCAACTGCAGACAGGTGGGCTGTCCCAGAGCATAGAAACAGCATGGCTGGGGACGATTCCCAAGCAGGGCTGGGCGGGCAGACATGGTGTGACCGCACGAGGGGCAGGAGGCTCGTGGGCAGGCTCGGGTGGGCCCTGTGAGAAGCCAGCAGCCCAGCTGGCCGCGGGAGTTTTCCTGTTTGCCAGAAGGAAGCTGCAGACTCTGGGACATACCACTATCCAGTGCTGGGCTCTCAGATGACAGATCATCCTCTCACAGCCATTCGCCCGCCACGTCCCATGCACGTGTGCCAGGCTCTGTGAACAGCTGTTCCAGCCTTCCCTGCAGCTGTGCAGGCAGCTCCCTGTGGGATGCAGTCACATGTAACATCCTCATGGGGGCTGGGAGGAGTTGGAAGGAAAAATTGGGGGTGGGAGGGAGGGAAGATATTTGCAGGCAGGAGTGGCACCAGGGGTATAAGAGGAGGGTGCTGGGGACGGGGACAGAAGGGGCAGGGGATCACAGCTGCAGGGCTTGGGTCTGGTGGTTGTGTCACCCAGTGAAGACCTGGCAGGTGGGATGGGTGCCGAGATGGACCTGGCCTGGGCTGGGGGCTGGGCAGTGATCCTCATTGGCAACTCCCTGGGAGCATGGCTTTAAAGGGGCACTGGTTGGCACCTCCTGCAGGAATCACTGAGAAGGTGGGTGGTCTACAGGAACCAGCTGGGCAGGTAGGGCTTGGCTAAGGAGGGAGTCTGATGAGGGGAGTGGTGTGAGCACCAGGATTGGAGTCTTGATGTATGTGAAGACCTAGGGTGCTGAGGTTGGTCAAGCAACTGAAGTGGGAAGGCAGCAATGGGCAGAGGATCCTGGGAGCTGATGTTCCGAAGGGGTGAACTCCGAGATGACTCTGGCAGCACGTGAGATGCTGTGGGGACACAGCGTGTGGGGCCCTGTGCCTGCAGAGGGAAGGCGGCTGCTGGGACTGGCCTCCATGCCCAGGTGGGTAAGGGAGGAGCCGGCGTGTGGCCTGTACTACCAGGTTGGGGCCTGGCTGCTCTGCTTGCCACGCAGCCCCCTGCTGGCACACCTGGGAAGGCACCCAGTGGGAAGGCAGAAGGAGATGCCCAAGGTGTATGGGCCCTGTGCCACGTGGGGCCCCTGGCTTTGGTCCTGCCTGGCTGTCACTCTACCTTTCCAATAAAATAAATCCTTACAGGGAAGGTGAGGAGATCAGGAAGTGAAGGGATAGGAAGGAAAGAAGCAGTGATTGGGGCAAGGGTGCTCCCGCTCCCAGTGCTTAGGTGCTGAGAGGGGAGGTGATGTCACCAGGGGTCAGCTGGGACTTGATTAGGGTGCAAAGCAGAAGAGGCCCTCAGTGGGCGTGGCTAGCACTTCCTGGGTCAGTTTTTTTGTTTTGTTTTTAAATTTTTGATGATTATATAGTTGAGAAGGATGCATGCCCATGTGGACTACTGATTGGAGTGTGAATGATTGAGGAGCAGGGCAAGGTGGATGAGACCATTATTTCCAATTATCTTTTTCTTCTTCCTGTGTCTGGTGGAAGCGGGTAGGGAAGGGGAGAAGCCACACCTAGCGTCATAGCCGCATCAGTACCCGGGGATGGGGAACGACCACCCAGTGTCATCCCAGGGTCCCCGATGTGGAGAATGTTCTGAGGGTTCTGCTCAGATGTAGTTCTGAGATGCTGTTGATCTCGCCGCTGCAAGGATGAGGAAGCCTTTGCAAGGTCCACTGGCTGCCATGGTCCACTTGAGAGTCTCCGTTTGCCCAGACACTTGTCAAAGCCTGACACGAGAGCAGTCCAGTTTTTTCTGTCCTCTGTTCTCTGCTGTGGTACCAAATGTCCCCTGCAGGCCCAGTGGACTGCCGTATCCCCGTGTGCATCTGGGTATGCCAGCCACTGCAGTGGTTACACCAGCTGAAGAGACCCAGTTCTGCCTTAGTCGGTTTCTTAGGTTTGCTTCATCTGGGCAAGGAGAAGGAACATCGTGAAGACCCTGGCTCCCTCCTTCCCCCCACTCCCACTGAGCAGGACCCTGTCTTGTGTCAGATGCCGTGGGGCTGGTGTGGGGGGCGACTCTGGGCTGGGTTCTGTGTTCACGGGTGCAGTTAGCCATGAAGTGCTCTGTTTGCGCACAGCGCTGTCTCCTGCAGGAAACTGCATGCCATGCGCTGTATCACCAGGTAGAGTGAATGCCAGGGCAGGCTAGGATGGACCGGGTAAGGCAGAGGTCAGGGAAGGCCTCCCAGAGGAGGTGACGGCCGACTGGAGTGAGTCTCTATGGAATCCTTTTTTGTCTGCTTAAGATTTAATTTATTTTTATTGGAAAGACAGATTTATAGAGAGAAGGAGGGACAGAGAGGAAGATCTGTTGTCCTCTGGTTTACTCCCCAAGTAGTCACAATGGCCGGTGCTGAGCCAATCTGAAGCCAGGAGCCTGGAACTTTCTCCAGGTCTCACACATGGGTACAGGGTCCCAAGGCTTTGGGCCGTCCTCAATTGCTTTCCCAGGCTACTGGCAGGGAGCTGGATGGGAAGTGGAGCAGCCGACTTTAGAACTGGTGCCCGTATGGGATCTCAGCATGCACAAGGTGAGGACTTTAGCCACTAGGCCATGCCGCCGGGCCCCTATGGGATCTTGATGAAAGGCTCCAAGTTGGTCAGAGCTGTGAGTGGGTCATGAGTGAGCCTACCCGAGGAGCCACGCCAAGGCCTGTGTGGCCATGTGGAGGAGTGCAGCCCAGCAGGCTGGCCCGGAGTCAGGTGCATCTGTCCCAAAGATCCTGGATGTAGCAGATGAAGCAGCTGCAGGGGCGAGACGGGAGACCATCCGAGGCATCAGATGCTCCAGGGTCAGACCGCGTGTGCCTGGTGTTCCCTGGGGATGAGTGCAGTGGTCTAGCTGAGGAGGCCTCACCTGGGAGCTCCTCAGACCTTGCTCTCGTGTGCTCTCCTGAGCCAGCCGACGCACATACAGTGTGTGCAGCCCCCTAGTCAGCCCCACCCCAGCCCTGACTCTCAGCTGAACCAGCAGGTGCTGTAGTCTGGTTGGAGCAGCCCCTTCAAACCCCTTCTAATCCTGTTCCCTGCCCCAGCTTTTGTGGGTACTGCAACCTAGCCCAGCCTGGCTGCCCCTAGCCCTGGGTCTCGCATGTGCTGTGGCCTAACAGGGAGATCCTTAAAGATCCCCTACCAGGTCTGCTCATAGCCCTAGTTGTCACACGTGCCCCAGAATGACAGGGTCTGGCACGATAGCATAGTGGCCGAAGTCCTCGCCTTGAATGCGCTGGAATCCCATATGGTCACCTGTTCTAATCCCAGTGGCCCCACTTCCCATCCAGCTCCCTGCTTGTGGCCTGGGAAAGCAGTAAAGCAGTTGAGGATGGCCCAAAGCCTTAGGACTCTGCACCCATGTGGCAGACCCAGAAGAAGCTCCTGGCTCCTGGTTTCAGATTGGCTCAGCTCCAGCCATTGTGGCTACTTGAGGAGTCAACCATCGGATAGACTTTTCAGTATCTCTTCTTTGTATATCTGCCTTTTCAATAAAAATGAATAAATCAGATTGGCAAAAAGGGGGAAAGATCTTCCATTCACTGGTTCACTCTTCAAGGAGCTGTCCTGGCCTGGGCCAGGAGCCTGGAGTGGGCTCCCGCATGCGTGACCAGAATCCAGGTTTCCTGAGCCGGCTTTGTGCCTCCCCGGGCACATTAGTAACAGGAGCTGGAACAGAGGCTGGGCGGCAGCTGCTCCCACCAGCTCTCCAGCATGGGATAGCAGCATCACAGAGAAGCCAGCGCGCTGGCCCTGTGCAGGCATACAGAGAGGAGGGACAGGAAACCTGTGCTTGAGCTACACGTATGCATTTTATGTTTATGTTCAATAAAATGTAATAAGGAGTGACAGACAGGGGGCGCCAAAGTATAGTGTCTAGCAACTTCTCTGAGCAGTTTGCCATGGAGGGAGCCGGAGGGGTTAGAAAGGGCAGATGTCTGAGAACCTGCCTTGTGCAGTTCTTCGGGAGGGAGGGCAGCAGGTGTGGTCCAAGGCAAGGCAAGTGCTGCAGCTTTGTCAGCAGAGCCAAAGGCCAGCGAGTGGGAGTTGGTCAAGGAGGAGCCCTGGAGGGGCGCCCTGTGTGATTCCAGATGGGCGGGGTGCAGGGCTGTGTCCTGGTGGGAAAGTGCAGAGTGGGGAGTGGACTGGGGGGCAGGGTAGAGGCCTGTTGGAGCCCAGGTGTGTGTGGTGGGCATGGCTTCAGCTGCTGCCACACGGGGGTTCTGAGGGCTCCTGGGTCTCCATGGCATCACCCCAGAAACTTCCGGGCTTGCCCACAGCCGCTCCCTCCTCCAGGTGGTGGAGTTTGTGAAGAAGCTGGAGTCGCGGCAGCGAGGCTGGGAGGAGGATGAGGACCCGGAGCGCAAGGGGGCCATCGTGTTCAATGCTACGTCGGAGTTCTGCCGCACGCTGGGCGAGATCCCCACCTACGGGCTGGCCGGCAACCGGGAGGAGCAGGAGGAGCTCATGGTGGGGGGCCAGCCTGGGGCTCCCGGGTGGGCTGGGGGGAGGGCAGGGCTGCCTGGTTGACCTTGGACTTCTGGCCCCAGGACTTCGAACGAGATGAGGAGCGCTCGGCCAATGGTGGTTCTGAGTCGGACGGGGAGGAGAACCTGGGCTGGAGCACTGTGAACCTGGACGAGGAGAAGCAGCATCAGGATGTGAGGGGGCACTGCCTGGAGCGCGAGGAGGGGCACTGCCCGGGGTGAGAGAAGGGGCGCGATGCAGGGCTGGGAGAGCCCGAGGTTGCTCACCCTCCCGCACCGCCCACAGTTCTCAGCCTCCTCCACCACCATCCTGGACGAGGAGCCCATTGTGAACCGGGGCCTGGCTGCCGCTCTGCTCCTGTGTCAGAACAAAGGTAGGCCCTGGGCAGGGGCCCGTGCCTCCAGCCGCCCCAGGCTTGTCTGCCGGCCTCACCACGGCCTCTGTCCCCAGGGCTGCTGGAGACCACGGTGCAGAAGGTAGCCCGGGTGAAAGCCCCCAACAAGTCTCTGCCGTCGGCTGTGTACTGCATCGAGGACAAGATGTGAGTGCAGGCGGCAGCTGGGCGGACAGGGCCAGGGGGCAGGCGGCAGGTGACGGGCGGTGGCTCACGTGGGCTCGTGTGTGGGCAGGGCCATCGACGACAAGTACAGCCGGCGGGAGGAGTACCGGGGCTTCACGCAGGACTTCAAGGAGAAGGACGGCTACAAGCCCGACGTGAAGATCGAGTACGTGGACGAGACGGGCCGGAAGCTCACGCCCAAGGAGGTGAGCAGGGCGCTGCGAGGGCACAGGCCTGCAGAGGCTGCCTCCGGCCATGTTGGACCCTCTGTGTGCCGGTTCCTGTCCTCAGTGGGCACAGCAGCCCACCCAAGCTGGCAAGAGGGCAGCGCCTGGGCTCCTGTTCCCACTTGCTGTCGCTGTCACGGCTACTGCAGCTGTCTCCACACACTGTGCCCCGCTCCTCCAAGTCCTGGCCCCATGCCCTTCCTGGGCCTCTCCAGCCTAGCACAAGGTGCCAGGTCCCTCCAGCTCCCCGCCATGCTGTGTTTCCAGGCCTTCCGGCAGCTGTCCCACCGCTTCCACGGGAAGGGCTCGGGCAAGATGAAGACGGAGCGGCGGATGAAGAAGCTGGACGAGGAGGCGGTAGGTGTAGGATGGGGCTGCGGGCCAGGGGAGGAGGGCCGCCCTGTGTGCTAACCGTTCGCCGCCCCACAGCTCCTGAAGAAGATGAGCTCCAGCGACACGCCCCTGGGCACGGTGGCGCTGCTGCAGGAGAAGCAGAAGGCCCAGAAGACACCCTACATCGTGCTCAGCGGCAGCGGCAAGAGCATGAACGCGTGCGTGGGGCTGGGGCCGGGGGTGCGCCGGGGGGTGCTGGGCCGGTGCGCCGTGCATGGGTGCCCGTAGGCTGACTGCCCTTCTCCCCACAGGAACACCATCACCAAGTGAGGCCTGCCTCCTGTTCCGTGCCCAGCCCGCCTTTCTTGTTAAATAAAGTTTCCCCCTTATTTTTTCCTCTGTGTTGTGGTGTAGAGTCTGGGGCCAGCCTGGGAGGAGGGTGTCACCCTGCTTCTCTGAGCCCAGTCTTGCCGTGTGTCCAGTCCGCACCTCTGCTTCCAGGACATGCGTGAGGACGCCAGGGATGTGGGTGTGCATTCCCTCGGTCAGTAGCCTGGAACCCGGGTGGGAACAGAAGGGGGTGGATCCTTGGACACTCAGTGCAGCTGACAGCACTGACCCAAGGGGAGGGGAGCGAAGGCAGACACTGTCCTCAGGCCGTCGTGTGGCCTGGGGGGTCACCATCTGCCCAGTCCCCTCCCTGCAAGGCCACAGAACAGCTGGGGTTACCTCCTGACCCATCTGCCCTTTCACCTTGTCCAGAGCCAGGGCTGCCGTTGAGGAGGGCTGTGGGTGGAGGGGCTGGTCCCCCAGAGCACTGCTCCCACACATCTGGAACACACGGGATGCCGAAGTCGGTGGAAAGGTGGTAGTGGCAGACTGCCAAGACCTGCACCCAGTTCACATGCGCATGAATCACATCCTTCCCACGTGTTCTCTCCAAGTTTGGAACGACTGTGTGTCACAGGTCGGGAAGAACCTGAGACAAAGTCACGTGCCACAAAACTCCTGGTGCCTGGTGGCTCAACCTCTGCACCCCGAGCCTACACCGCAGCCAGGGCGCCCCACAAGTGCTTCTCCCACTGACATCTTCCCTGGCAGCTCACGTCAGCTGCTTGTTCTCAGGTCGGGTAGCTGCTGTGCACGCGTGTCTCGGGTGGGGGTGGGCAGGTGCACTGTCACCTGTCTTGGCTGAAGCCACTGTCGGGCACAAAGCCCCAAACTTGGCCTAGAGCTGTGGCCTAGACATGGCTGGCCAAATGGCCAAGGCAGAGAAGGGACACCCTGAGGTGACCTCCAGGAGCCACCTGGATGGCAGTACCTACTTCCTCTTCATATCTAATGGTTCTGGTTGGGCTTGCTTGTGGGGGACGGGGTGGCAGGGGTTAGCGGTCATGAGGAGCATTGGGGCCTGAGCCTGCAGGGTGGGATGCCAGCTCAGCACCTCAGCAGTGGGACAAGGCCGTGACAAGCCTGGGCTGGGTGGCTTCTGTGGGCACTCCTGACTGCCCTTGAGAGTCCCCTGACCGTGGGGACCCCATGCTCCAGAGAACGGGCCCAGCCTCAGACCTCCATGGTCTCATGAGGCAGGATGGAGAGCTGCCCTTTTTGTGTGTACTAATGGTGCATCTGGAGGGACAAAGCTGGACAGGCGCCCTGGGCCAGGGCCTGCCAGGTGAGCAGCCACAGGGTACACTGGCTGGACGTGAAGAAGCCCTTGTCCTAGGGCACTGCCCCCACGGTGCTGTGTCTATATCACCTGCCCTACCCTGCCCGGGGTTCTATATCACCTGCCCTACCCTGCCCGGGGTTCTTATCAGCTTCAGCTGTTCCCTCACTGGGGTGCAGTCTAGTGACACAGCCTTCACCTAGACCCAGGCAGTAGAAGGGACACGGCTCTGAGGAGCTCAGCCAGGACCATGCTGTGACACCGGCCCAGGCTGGAGCCAGGGATAGAGAGGGCCTGGGGCCGGAGGGACCGCAGCCAGGGAAGCTGCTCGGCCTGAGCGGGCTATGGCCAGCACCAGGGCCTCCTTCCTGCTCCGGCCACCCAGCTGCTCTTGGGTACCTCCCCTCCCCCCATCCCAGTATGTCCCCACCACACAAGGCCCATGCCTCTTCACTGCCATGTGTAGCCACAACACCAATGGCTCCGAGGTTTGTTCGGCAAGTTCTCCGCACTGTGGGTGCACAGCGTGGTTTCCTAGCTGATGCCGTGCTTGGTCAGAATCCCCCCTCAGGAGCTGGTCCCTTTTCTAGCCAGCATGGTAAGAGCTGTGTAAACGCTTTCAAACTCTTTCCTTCAGAATCCTCCCCTGCCACACACACACGCACAGGGTTCAACTCCCAGGGGCTGAGCCTCTCCACCTGTGCTTCCCCTGGACAGAGGTGAGCTGGCTGGGCTGGCCAAGTGGCCTCAGGGCAGCCATAGGAGATGCCAGCACTCCCACCAGCCTGTTTATCTCCTGTCCTACTTGCCCTGCCAATGCCAGGGTTCATCCCTGCAGTGAAGGCCAGGGCACCAGGAGATACTAGGGCTGTGGGGCTCCCCTTCATCCCCAGAGAGCAGGGGGCCTTCTAGAAATGCCCCCAGCCCACCCTGTTCTGAGTGGAGTCAGGGTGAGGCATCTTGCTGTGAGAGAGAAGGGTCCAGCTCTCAGGTGGACCCGTCTGGGTCTCTCCCTATCCCCTCTCTGGGAGGCAAGGGCTGCAGACACACGGTTAATTCCACATACTCCGTGCTAAGCTGGGGTAAGAACAGAGGATCCTGCCAGGGAGGACCGGAAGCCAGCCGGAGCATATGGACCCAGGAGCTGGGGAGCCGAGGAACACAGGGAGCTGTGTGCCGTCCCCAAGCTCCCTGCGGCTGGTTAACTCCCAAGTGCCTGTAACAGCAAGGGTTGGGTCAGGTCAAAGCCAGGAGACCAGAACTCACCATCCCAAGTGGACAGCAGGGGCCCACCATCTGCTGCCTCCCACTTGGATGTAAGCTGGAGGCTAGACAAGAAAGCAGGGAGGCGAGGCAGTGTGCAGGCAGGGAGGCACTGTGGAGGCGCAGCAGTGTGTAGGAGACCAGCTTCCTCCAGGGGTGGGGACAGGCAGCTGCAGGACGCCTGTCACACTGCCAGCACAAGGAAAGTTCTCACCCATGGCTTTGTGTATGTAAAACTTTATAATAAACCAAGATTTCCTATATTTCTAAATAAGATTACACCGAACAGACCTTATAATGGACTTTATGTTTAATTTTTTTGTTGGTAAATGTGTTCCAGAAACTCTGCCCTTAGGACGCCCCCAGTTTTAAATTGATGGAGACAATCTGGCCCCCGAAGGCAACAAGAGCCGACAGCTGGGGAGCACGCTCACGATGACCCCAAATACAAAGCTTGTAAAATCTTGATTTGTTCACATACAACACATACTTTTTTGGCACAAACGGCCTGGTTCTTTGCCCAGTGTTTCTTCCAACCTCATCTGCCTGCATCTTCTTTAGAGGTCAGATTCAACTTCGCACCAACACGTGTGTGCAGTCTGCTGGCTGGCTGGGTTTGGCTTCCAGCCAAGGTGATCCACTGCTGCTTCCGCCTGCCCTGCTGTCTGCACGCGGTGGACTCGGGAGAGGCAGTGCTGGAACTCATCATGACAGCTCTGGCTTTTGCTCATGGCACCTGTCATTTCAGTTGCAGCACTTTGTCAGGGAAGGGATGCCAATGTCGAGACCAACACCAAACAATGGAGAGCCACATCCATTTGGTGGGACAGGCGGCAGGCTGGTCCTCCTATGGGGTCCGGTGAGAATGCATCTCCGTGTTTCTGGCTCTTAGGGAAGCGTGAGCTGCGTTGGGCCAGCGCAGCCGACAGATAGTGCAAGCCAGCAGACACTCCGAGCAACTGTCGCACTGTGAGGGCTGGCTGGCTGAGCTGGGACTTCCTGAGCTTGAGGTGTGGCTGGTGGGCCTTCCAGTTCAGCGGATGAAGGACAAGCCCACGGAGGGTCAGGGTATTGATGGCAGGAGGCTGGGTTAGCAAGTGCACAGGAGGAAAGCCAGGGTGCCTGTGGTAACCTCAGGGCATCCTGGAGAATGAAAAGTCAGCTTGGGAGGGGTGCCCACTAGACAAGAAGTAATGGAGCTGGGGCTGGAGGACACACGGCTGTCTACACTACAGGCCCTGTCACTTGTAGGGAACCAACGGGGGTCCCGGTAGTGACTAAACATGCCCGGAGCAGACGAAAAAGGATGCCAAGGGCCCATCTTCGGGTTGGAATATTAGGGAGTCAGGGCACCACCTGCTGAACACTCCATCATGGGACCGTGTGTAATCATTCAGATGAGGTTAAGGGACAGGCCTGGCGATGCAGATAAGCTGCCACAAGGCATGCCTGCATCCTTACCAGAGTCCCTGACTGCAGTCCTGGACACTCTGCTTCTGGCTCAAGTCTCTGGGTTCCTGCCACCCACACGGGATACCTGGATGGAGCTCCTGGCTTTGGCCTGGCCCAGCTGCTGCAGGTAACCAAGGGATCTGCCTGCCTCTTCCCTCGGACACTGCATTTCAAAAAAATCTTAACAAAGTTACAGATGGACAGAGGTGTGCGCATCACGCTAAGCGTCCTGGGGACACAGGCACTGCTGTGGTGATGGCGACGGACAGACAAGGGGAACAGTCACCCTGAGTATCGGTAGGAGGCAGGTGGTCCGGAGGGATGCCCCCCTCCCAGTGCCCTAAGCAGCCAAGGAGAAGAGAACAAGGGGAAACAAACCACTCGTGCCAGGCTGTGGCCAGCTCCCATTTCTTTTGTGTCCAGTGATCTGAGGGCTCCCTCCCCAGATGGCGACTCAGCTTCCAGGACCACCCTACCCAACAAGGGGTTAATTCTTGTATCAGAGAAGCGGTTCTGAGTGACCCTGCCTCACTCCCGTGTGGGGCACCCCAAAATGTCCGCATCTGGGGGAGCTGTGACGAGTCCTTGAGGGAACAGCAGTGGCCCTGGTCCTCAGGCTGCCTCCCCATCTTCACTCTCCTCCTCGCTCTCGTAATACTGCATCCGGTTGGTGTTGACAAAGAGGTCGGAATCGTCCTCTGAGCTGGACTCCACCGAGGACAGGGATTCAGCAGGGAGCTCTGGCTGACTCTGTCTGCGGGGGACACACGATAGTTAGCTCAGGGCTTCGGGGAAGACCACCAGCCAAGCACTCCAGTTCCCGTGGGGGAACCCCAACAACCCAGGAGAAGACCGATCACAGCAGGGCTTGGTGAGCCCACATGGAACAACAGCCCACGCAGGCAGCATCAGCTCCCTGGTGCCCCAAAACTCCCACCTGGTCTTGGGAGATTCTGGCACATGTCTAATATCACGCAAGGCCAAGACTGCAAGCCAGGGTGCCCAACTGGCCACCATAATCATAACCACAAAGCACGCCACGTGTGTGGCCTTCACCGAGCACCCCGGTATGGAAGCTGTATTGCTCCCTATAGCCACCCACACGGTCTGACTGGTTTTTTTTGTTTTTTTTTTCTCCACTTTAAGGCTTGTTTCTCTCACACGCCCAGCCAGGATTCACAGAGAAAGGACGGAAATGGAGATCTTCCACTTGCTGGCTCTCTCCTCACATGGCTGCAGCGGCCAGGATGGAGCCAGGCGCTTTGTCAGTCTCCTGTCTGGGCACAGGGGCCCAAAACCATGGGCAACTTCTGCTGCTTGCCCAGCCACCTGCCAGGAGGAGCTGGTTGGGGAGTGGAGCCACACACACAGGATGGGACCAGCACCAAGGGGATGTTTCCTACCTGCTCCTGTTGCTGCTGTGTTTCTCAGCCACCTCCGAGAAGGCCTCGGGCCTGTGCCAAAAGCAGAGCCAGTGTCAGGAAGGGCACAAGGGCTGCTTCCCGCCGCTACGCGGTGCCATCCAGGACCCCAGTCCCTTACCATAGCCCCTCCTCCTGCAACGAGCGCACATGGTCCTTGCAAAGCACAAAGCAGATCTCAGCCTTGACCTTCTGTCCTTCCTTAATGGGGTCCACGATGAGGAAGTCGCCTAGCGGGTTAAAGAGCAGAGGCACGTTGGGCCTGTTTCCACTGGGCAGTCCAGGGACGTGCGGGGACACGCGCAACGGGCTCTTACCTCTCTTGATCCAGATATTCTTGCGGAACTTGGAGGGCATGCTCACCAGGAAGCGCTGCCCTTGAGCCGTCTCTACCTCGTGCAGGTTGTTCCCCGGGGTCCTGAGAACCTGCAGGAAGAACCGAGATCCATCGGCCCTGGGGTCAACACGGGGTCCGGGGGGCGGCTCAGGCCCTGGGCAGGCAAGGTGTGGGTGCCCGGGTCACTTGCCTTGACGATCTGCTGCTGCTCCGATGGCACCACGTGCTCTCCCAGCACCTCCTTCACCACGTGTTTCCGCTTGGTGACCCGCGACATGCTGGCTCTTGTCTTAGAGGACGAAGGCCGCAGGAATAGGAGACTCCTCCCAACACTGCCAGGGGATTATCCGGACACCAGGCCTGCCGTCACGGCACAGAGGGAGCCTGTACAGGAGAGCGCGCTATGGGGAAGGAGTCGGCCCCCAGCCAGCCTGCTCCCCAGCATTCCCCCTCCTTAGGCGTCCCCAACCTGCAACACTGTCACTTAAAACTCCCCGAGAACCGAGAACCGTGCAACCCTAAGCTTACACGCATGTTTCCTGAAAATTGCATTCTATGGGACTAAGAGGTGGGCAGGGCCCGGTGCCCAGTGGGATCCCCCAGGAGTCCAGGGCTCCTACCTGTATGCCACCAGGAGACAGGCAGCTTCTGGGCGACTGGGAAGATGGGGCCAATCTCACTGTTCTGGTGGCCAGACAGGATTATCACGCCTGCCCTGATGGGTTTTTGTCTCCACCCTGTCAGTTGCTGATACACTCTCCCTGACCTGGACCACAGTCCCGGGTCTAACTCGCTCAGCGCCCCGCCCCCCACCAGGTGGACTGCTACCCCGATGTTTACAAACCTGACGCTGTTACTAATTTGAGTAAACGTCGATAAGCCTCCTTCTGTCCTCCCGTTAGACCGCCCCTTGGCGCCGAGTTCCAGGTTAACACTCCGCCAGGCGTCTCTACCTTCCTCCCCGCCGACCCCCGACCCTCAGGCTCTCCCCAAGGGCTCGCCGCCGCCATGGCGGGAGATGAGGCTGGGCTTGGGTCATCCCCCATGCCCGTCTGCAGGACCAGCAGTCTGAGGCTTCCTAAGCTCGGCTGCTGCCGGTCCCCACCTGCCTCTCCCCTGCCTTCTGCCGCCTGGACCGGGCCAGCACTAACCTTCCGCCTCTTGCTGCTCCAGCGACCTCAGGGTCCCAGGTCGGCCGCGATCCAACGTACTGCCGGCGGTCCGAGCGGTCCGGTCGGCTTGCAACAGCCCCGCGGCGAGCCCGACTCCCGACTCCAACGCACGAGTGCAACTCCGCCGCGGCCAACAAGTCAACTTCCGCCGTCCTCCTGCAAGCCTTCCTCTGCTTCTGTCCGTCGCTCTAATTCGTCCCACCACACCAGGTCAATTAAACCCCAGCTCCTTAGTACCTAGTTCCGTGGAGTTCCGAGATCCCGGAGAGGCCTTTCCCTAACGGAAGAGAAAGGACCACCGTGGGAAGTGGTTCGGCCCCCAGCAAACGACGCCTTATATGCGCCGGGGACGGTTCCGCCCTGCGGTCCCTCCCTGTGGCTCCACCGCCCCGCCGCCCCGCCGCCCCGCCCAGCGGCTGCAAGCGGATGTCGTCGTCGTTGTTGTTGCTGTAGGCGGCTCTCGAAGCGACCCGGAAGCGGAAGTCGAGGAAAGTTCTAGTGGCTTGGAGGCAGCGGCGGGAGCGGCCCGGTGGGCGGGAGGAGCCGTTGCAGGATCCGGAGCTGCCGGTGAGCGCGGGCCGCGGAGCTGGGCGCTGTGGGGGACACCCTGAGGAGGCGGCGGGCGAGGCGCGAGAGCCGGGGCGGCGCGCGGACGGGGTGGGGCCGGCGCGGCGCAGAGGGACGCGGGTTCGCGCCCCGCACCGCGCTCCGGGAGCAGCGGGGAGCAGCGGGCCGGCGTGTGTGTGTGTCGGTGTGACCCGGGCTGGACCCTCGTGGCTGCTGCTCCGGGCCCTCGTGACCGTCGCAGGCCGGGGCAGGTGCCTTGGCCAGGCCAAGGTCACGGAGGGCAGTGGCCGCCCCGGGGCACACCACCTGTTCCTGGGGCGGCCGGATGATTCCAGAAGGTCTGCTCCCGCTGCGTAGAGAAAGTATTCGGAATAGTTGTGGGGAACACCCCTTTGTCCCCTGTCGTGTGAAATGAGAGGAACCCCCAGTGCCTGCCCTGGCGTGGCCCCTCTGGCAGGGTAGGTGAGCAAGCTCGCCCAGCTCTTAACCTGCTTTTCTGGGGTGGGGTTGGGGGATTACCAGAGTGACCCCGATCAAGATGACCACGTCACAGAAGCACCGGGACTTCGTGGCCGAGCCCATGGGCGAGAAACCCGTGGGGAGCCTAGCAGGGATCGGCGAAGTCCTGGGCAAGAAGCTGGAGGAGCGGGGCTTCGACAAGGTGTGTGTGTTGGGGGTCCTGCGATGTGCGCCGTTTTTAGGGGGGGGACAGGGGAACAGTGGGGTGCTTACATCCAAGGAGGGCGCGACGGAGAGCTCCTGTGTAATGTGAGAGGGATGCTCTGGGATGGGACGCGGTGTGAACTCGGGAGCCCACCCTGGGTGCACGCGCATTCTCAGTGGTGCCCTGCTTTGCCTCTGGCAGGCCTACGTGGTCCTCGGGCAGTTTCTGGTGCTCAAGAAAGACGAAGACCTCTTCCGGGAGTGGCTGAAGGACACGTGCGGAGCGAACGCCAAGCAGTCCCGCGATTGCTTCGGCTGCCTGCGGGAGTGGTGCGACGCCTTCTTGTGACTCTCCCCAGCGCCCGCCTGCAGTCTCCCTGGCTGGTGGCCGCTTGGGGACTCGTCCCAGCGCCCCCAGACGAAGGGCGGAGTGGGCCGTCGCCGCCATGTTCACCCCCTGGTGCCTGCAGGGCCTTTGCCAAGTGCCCTGCCCTCACCGCGTCCACGTTTTTGGGATTCTCACACCTGCATGCCTCGCCCTTCAGTGTGTCCTGCTGGTCCCACAGGGAGAGTGTCCTGCTTTCCTGAGTGGGTGCCCAGCTCCCGCCCTCGCCCCACCCTTCCCTCTGGTCTCTTTGCCATTTGGCTCTCTTTTTGGCAGTCACTGTCCTCAAAAACTTTTTTAGCTCAATAAAGTCAGCGGCCTTCAGGACTGCGCCTGGTGTGTTGGCAGGCAGGTGGCTGGCAGTCACGGCGTCACCACGGATGGACAGGGCTTCTTATCAGGACTGAAACTGGCAGCCGCCCTGGCCACCCAGGCATTGGGCAGGTGCCCCGCGTGTCCCAATCCCTGAGTAATGGAGAGTGGGCTGATCTCTTGTGCTGGGCGGGCTGTGTGGTACCAGATGTCCCTCAACAGCCGGGCTGGGCAGCACCTGCTCGAGTGGTCCGTGGGAGGCAGAGGCAGCAGGAAGAGTGGGGCCGGATGTGGGGACACACCTGTTCTGGCTTCCGTGTGCCCTGCTTTCCTGGAGGAAGAGGAGTGTAGGCACCACAGCTAAGTGACGCTGGAATTCAGGCTGTTTCAACCCTCAATTTTTCTTCTTAGAAGTCAAATAGAGATCTCCCTTAGTGTATTATAAGGTTTAATTTATGTAACAGGCCAGCTAGGTGGTGTAGTTGGCTAAGCCTCTGCCTGCAGTACCATCTTCCATATGGGTACCAGTTGTAGTCCTGGCTGCTCAACTCTGTCTAGCTCTCTGTCTGTGGCCTGGGAAAGTGTTGGAGCGTAGCCCAAAGGCTCCTGGCTTCGGATCAGCTCAGCTCCGGCTGTTGTGGACATTGAGGGAGTGAGCCAGCAGATGGAAAATGTTAGTCTCTGTCTCTCCTTCTCTATATCTACCTTTCAAATAAATAAGGGACTGGCACGATGGCTCGGCTAAATCCTCACCCTGCAACTGCCAGGATCCCATAGCGATGCTGGTTTGTGTCCTGGCGGCCCTACTTCCCATCCAGCTCCCTGCTTGTGGTGTGGGAAAACATTCGAGGATGGCTCAGGGCCTTGGGACCCTGCACCTGCGTAAGAGACCCAGAGGAAGCTCCTGGCTTAGGATCCGCTTGGTTCTGGCTGTTGAAGTCACTTGGGGAGTGAACCAGCGGAGGGGAATCTGTTGCCTCTGTTAAAACCTGCCTAAATAAAAACTAGATCTGTATTATTTGTTTTTGAAAATAATTGGAAGATTTAATCTATTTGAAAGGCACAGTAGGAGACAGAGCTTCCCCAGTTCACTTCCCAGATGGCCAGAACGGCCGGAGCAGGGCCTGTCCCGAACCAGGAGCTTCTTCCAGGTTTCCTACGTGGGTGCAGGCGCCTGAGTGCTTGGGCCATTTTCTGCTTTCCCAGGCATGCTAGGGAGCTGGATAAAAATAGAGCAGCCAAGACTTGAACCAGTGCCTGTGTGGGATGCTGACACTGCAGCATTACCCCTTCCCATCAGTTACCTTTTATGTATAAGATTTACCTTACTGGAAAGGCAGATTTACATGGGGAAGTCAGACACATCTATTTGCTGGTTCACTTCCCTGAATGCCTACAACAGCCGGAAGTGGTCCAGTCCAAAGTCGGGAGCCTCTGTGCAGGGTTCTAAGGCTTTAAGCCATCCTCCACAAACAGCATGATGGGAAGTGGAGCAGCTGGGATTAGAACCAGCGCCTTCACAGGATCCTGGTTTGCAAGGTGAGGATCTGAGCCATTGCATTGGGACTGTAAATGTATTTTAAAGGTGCATAATGACAGAGCAAGTGGTTTTGTATCTGGTTCACTCCCCAGTTGCTGCAATGGCTGGAGCTCAGCACTGTCCGAGTGTCCCCCACGAGGGGCCTCTTCCTGGCTTTGCCAGATGCATCAGCAGAGCTGTCCTGGAGGTGGAGTGGGATCGGACCAGCATGCTGGTGTACCTCGCTGTGCTTGGCGCCTGCCTCCTGCTCTTCCTTAAACACTCAGGGTGCACCTGAAGCTAGCATGCTTGTAAACAGCTTTTCTCTCCTTGGCAATCATTGTCTCATTCTCAGGTGAGAAAACCTGGGATCCGGGCTAAATAATTTGCCCGTGGACTTGGGGAAGTAAGCATTTAGCTCTGGATATTGGAAGTATCTGTTCACCTAAAACTATGGCATCAGGAGACAGCGGGAGAGGATGTTTGCAGCAACATAACCACAGGGGCTACACCCAGGACATAACCAGGGGACCAGCGTTCTGGCATGGCTGGTTAAGCACCACTGCGAGGCCAGCATCTGTGGCTGGTGTGTGGTTCAAGTCCTGGCTTTTCCACTTTCAGTCAACTCCCTGTTTTTGTTTGTTTGTTTGTTTTAATATTTATTATTGGAAAGGCAGGTATACAGAGAGGAGGAAAGACAGAAAGTGGTTACTCCCCGTGCGGCTGCGACAGCCAGAGCTGAGCTGATCAGGAGCCTCTTCCAGGTCCTTCACATGGGTGCAGGGTCCCAACTGCTCCCATGGGGACAGCAGTTTGGGACGTCCCCAACTGCTTTCCTGAGCCACAAGCAGGCAGCTTCATGGGATATGGGGCTGCTGGGATTAGAACCAGCGCTCATATGGGATCCTGGCACATGCAAGGCAAGCACTTTAGCCACTAAGCTACCGTGCCAGCCCCAGTCAACTTCCTATTAATGTTCCTGGGAAAGTAGTGGAGGATGGCCAAGTGCTTGGGGACCCTATACCTGTGTGGGAGACCCGGAAGAAGCTTTTGGCTCCTGGTTTTAGCCTGTGCAGTGTTGGCCATTATGGCTGTTTGGGATAGTGAACCAACACATGGAAGACCACTTCCTGTAAAAGGAGAAATCCCTGACCCTAAGGCACTGTGTCATGAAAAATAAAAGATTAGAAGGTGGACAGGGTCAGTTATCCAGTGCAGTGGGTCACCCGTGGTTGCAGTTCTGGCTCTTGGCCTTCCAGTTCAGCTTCTCAGGTGCACCCTGGGGAAGCAGCTGCTGGCCACGCAGCCTGGGAGCCAGGGTGGAGTTCTGGGCGCTTGGCTTTGGCCTGTCCCAGCACTGGCTTTTGGGAGCATTTGGGGAGTGAACCAGCAGACGGAAGCTTTCTGTCTTTGCCTTCCGAATGAAATGAAAATAAGGCAGCCATTAATTATACCCTAATAGGTGCCCAGCACAGCAGCCTAGTGGCTGGGGTCCTTGCCTTGCATGAACTAGGATCCCATATGGGTACTGGTTCATATCCTGGCTATTCCACTTCCTTCCAGCTCCCTGCTTCTAGCCTAGTAGAGGATGGCCACAGCCTTGGACCCTGCACCCATCTGGGAGAAGTTCCAGGGTTCGGATCGGCTTAGCTCCAGGCATTGTGGCTACTTTGCGGAGTGAACCAGTGGATGGAAGATCTTCCCATCTGTCTCTCCTCCTCTCTGTAAATCTGACTTTCCAATACAAATAAATTGTAAACAAAAATAAAATAATGTCCTAGGACCTGGCAAGGTAGCCTAGCAGCTAAAGTCCTTGCCTTGTATTGCTGGGTTCCCATATGGGCACCCGTTCTAATTCCCAGCGGCCCTGCTTCCCATCCAACTCTCTGTTTGCGGCCTGGAAAAGTCTCTGTTTATCTGACTTCGCAATTAAAAATAAATAAATCTTAAAAAAAAATAGATACCCTAATAGTGAATGAGCATGGGAAAAAGCTCAATTTCACCAGCAGTCAGACAAGTGCCATCAATACCACCCAGATGGGAGAAGCGTGCAGACAATGCCATGTATTGGTGAGGAAATGGGGCAATAGGAATTGGGACCAGGTGGGCGTGGAAATTGATATTAGCACATTGGGAAAACAGGCAGGTGTTACGTAGTAAAACCACCACACCCTGTGAGCCAGCGATTCCACTGGGACTGAACACCTGCACCAGGTCCCGTGCCCTGCTCGCTGCCACGTTACTCACCAGCCCTCCCCCCCAGCCCGGGCGGCTGTGACCCCTGTGCCAAGGCACCCGCATGGCTAGGGAATGGGAGGGGGTGCCCAGGCCATGAGGGGTGGGGATTCTCTGCAGGGTGATGTGGTCCCTTCATGAGAAGTTAGTGAAACTTGCTTGGGGATCACTCCCTAAGTGGTGAAACTAGCCAGAAGGGGTTTGTTGCCAAAGTCAACAGTGGTAGGAAAAAATGGAGGCTCCCTGAGGGAAGGGAGGAGGGTGAGCCGGTGTCCCGGTGGAGGGGGTATTTCCATGTCTCCACCTGAGTGTGTCACGAGGGTGGGCTAAGGGTGAGGTTAACTGTAATGCTTTGTTAGATGTGAACCTGTATTTCATGTGCACGCTCCATTTAAAAAAATATATTTATTTGTATTAGGAAGTCAGATACACAGAGAGGACAGATATCTTACATCCGTTGGTTCACTCCGCAAGTGGCACAATGGCCTGAGCTGAGCTGATTCAAAGCCAGGAGCCAGGAGCTTCTTCCCACACAAGAAGGTAAAACACCATGGCAACCCCTTTAAGAGGGTACCAGGGCACTTTCAGCTCCCATTGCAAGTTTCTAAAGCTCTTTCCTAATGTCCAGGCAATTAATCTTTTTTTTAAAAAAAGATTTATTTTTATTATTTTTTTATTGGAAAGGCCAGATATACAGAGAGGAGAGACAGAGAGGAAGATCTTCCCTCCGATGATTCACTCCCCAAGTGAGCACAATGGCAGATGCTATGCCGATCCGAAGCCAGGAGCCTCTTCCGGGTCTCCCACGAGGGTGCAGGGTCCCAAGGCTTTGGGCCATTCTTGACTGCTTTCCTGGGCCACAGGCAGGGAGCTGGATGGGAAGCGGGGCTGCTGGGATCCCGGGTGTACAAGGTGAGGACCTTAACCACTGCGCCATCGTGCCAGGCCCCAGGGCAGTTAATCTGTCATCTATATATCACCTATTCTTCTCTACACAGGATCTAACGGAATATACTCAGAGTCATTCCTTGAGCGTTTTAAGATTCTGGGAGATTTCTCTGTGGCCCTAATCTGAGATTTATTCAAATTATCGGACAGAAGATATTTCTCTCTGTCTCTCCTCTTCTCTGTATATATCTGACTTTGCAAGAAAAATAAATAAATCTTAAAAAAAGAAGATTTAGCTGAATACAATTCTCACAAATATTTTCATTTATAAGCCAATTAGAATAGACTACATAGCTTGCCACATAAACGT